CAAAACTTTACAAAATATTGTTTCTCTTTTGAGGTTATCTTTCCTACAACCCATGGCATCTTAATATATCTGAAATTATAACTATATGATAATATATATTTATTTACAATATGAAGAACAATCCTACAGTTGCATAATAAAATCTCACTCTATTAAATAAGTTATTGTAAATATTTAAAATAAAAACAGATATTATAAACTAAAATTGTGAGATAAATATATCCTAAAAATGTACTCAATATCAGTTGGTTAATACCAATTTTATTGACTTGTGTAATAAAATCTGATATAGTGTATGTAAATTAAGAATTGTTTCTTTATGTTCCTTTGATAATGATTACACAGTATTTTCAGGACTTTCTATTATAACAAGTTTTTTTTTTTTTTTTTTAAGTATATAAACAATGTTAAAATGAAAAGTAACCTTCATAAGTAAAATTGTTATTACTTTTCCAAACAATGAATTTGAAATTAACTTTTAAATTGTCAGATTATATTTCAGATATTCAGCTCAACACTTTGCACCTTCTTGGGGTCACATTTTCAAATGACATTAAATGGAATGATTATATTCAGTCAATTGCTACATTTAGCACTAGGAAAGTTGGTTCACTATGTTGTGATAGTTTTTCTTGTCAGAATCCATCTTGAACATTTATTAATCTACCATTCATCTGTGTATTGAATACTGCTGCCATATCTGGTCTGATGTTCCTGCTGTATATCTCGAGATTCTTGACAAAATTCAAAGATCTGTAATGTAATCGATCCTGACTTGAGATCTTGACTTCAGTCACATTCTCACCAATGTGGTATCACTTCCCTTTGTTGTTTTTTTGCAAATATTTTCATGGCATTTGTTCTGATGGGCTTTCCTCCTTGATGCCTCAACTACATGAATTTTAAGCATACTACTAGATTGGCAACTAGGTCTCACCATTTTACTGTTGAACTAGCTAGATGTAACCTTAAATTTTATTCTAATAGTTTCTTTTCTCACACTTCTCTCCTCCGGAACTCCTTTTCAATTTTTTACTTCCCTGCCACCTCCAGTCTTCAAAGATTTAAATGCAATGTCAATTGCGATCTTCTGTCTTCCTGAACCCTGTTCTTGTATTGTCCTTTCTTATCACTTCAGTCTTTTCATTCTTTTTAATGCCAAGTAAGCCCATGTATCCTAGTGGTATTATCATCATGCTTTCACATTAAAGTTCATATATTGAAAGTGAATATAAAATTAAAATTAATCAACATATATTTTAAGTTAGGCAACACTGATTAACATTTCTAGTCTCTGTATAGCAAATAAGTAATGATAAATGTGCTAATTATTTTCTGTATGAATTGTAAGCATACAACATACATCATCACTAGTGGGAAATAATCAAGCTACTTTTTAAAATCCAAACATGTTAAGTTTGGATCTAAAGTCTACAGTTATACTATTCTTTCTTATTTATTAAAGAAATAGGAACATTCTGTAACTGAAAATATTACAGTTATATTTTCATCAAAAGCCTATAAAGTAATAGGCTATAAAACAAAGAAAATATAAAAGAAAATAAGGCTTGTCTTTTTCTACTAGTTTCCCTCCATTTTTAGATTAAAATCTTGTTTAGATATAAAATTTAACACAGTGAAACATTAAATGAAATAAAAATTATATTGTAGAACATTGAAAAAATTGCCCCACACCACCTAATTTTAAAGGAACTTAGCATCTAATTGTAGGATAAGGGTTAAATCAAAAATAAAATACAAAATTTACTAGTATATTGTTCTTGGAAACAGAACTGATTCTGCCAGATCCTTCCTCATAGAAACTTTTAAACCTAATTTGACTTTTTTTTTCAGTGCAGAAAAGAATCTTAGAAAACTGACTTGAGTTGGTGGAATTGCTGTTAAAGTTCTAGCTACATCACTAATAACCTCTGAATAAAAGTTCTTTTCCACTTTTTTAATTCTTTAAAAAATTAAATTTAGAATTTCTTTATTTGGACACTTATTTTTTTTTTCATACATAAGTGGCATCATTTTGTTTTTTAAATGTTTCATTTTTGCTCAAAGTTTAATTCTTCATTAAAAGTTGAAGAGGATGATCCTGAGTTATCAATGTTTTGACCTTCATCTAGGGCTTCAGGTGTTTCACGTACTACTTGTAACTCTCTAATGTAAACTGCTACTTCCAAAAGTGCCTATTTGCTTGTAGCAATTTAGTCATTGCTCAGCAGAATACGGCTCATTGGATCAATGTAAATAGCAGCTAACAGGATTTGATTATCTAGCAAGAGTGCCTTTTCTTTCATTGAAAACACAATGCTGTCAGTAATTAATCCTCCATTTTTGTTTAGGTAATACATCAAGCTCTTCTACTCTTCTAGAATTTACCAGCTGTTAAATCCTCAGATTGCAGCTTCTTGGTAACAGAGTGAGAAAGTAGACATTCTAACTGTGTCACTTCTACCAGTTGGCTTTCAGTTAAAGAAACATTTATGTTGACCAGGTCTCTAGGAAAGCCTTTTAATCAAACTTATCAGAATGTCACTTGATCTAAAACTCCTTTTCCATCGCATCTCTGTAGAATAGCATAGTTTTAGGGGTCTTGCTTGTGACAGCTACTTGCCTTGACTTGCTAATAAGAGTAGTTACATGACAACTTTTCAGTTTCTCTCATTTCTAGTTGCAGCATGTGAACAACACCATATTGAATTGTAATTAGCTTAGATGTATTATCAGCTAAAATTTCAATGCTCTTTTTCTCTTTGTGGCTTACTTTTAGAAACATTTCATTTTTTTCTGCTTTCTTTAACTTTATTTTCTCAATTGTGCCTAACATTTTTATAAAATTCTCTGTTCTAATGCATAGACCCAGTTCCATTTTTATTACAGAATTTAAAACATCTTCCACTAACCTCTGAAGATATCTGATGTCATATGCCTGATGTTCTTTACTCCCAATGTTTTTATCAACTAATTTAAAATTACTAGCAAAATAGTTGACTGTGATGTGTGTGCATCCTTTTTAATGAAGATAAAACAGTCCTGTGACCTTTTTTTGAAGTTCTTCTTTCTTGCATTTAGCCTCTTCAGTTATCAGTTTCTTTATGCTTTCTTTTTCAAAGTTTTATAACCATTTTGCCATTTAAGTTTAAAAAAGGTGATCGTGAAAAAAGATAGATGGACACTATTCTTCATTGCCAGTTCAATCATGTTTGTTTTTTTATGTTTTTTTTTTTTGTTTTAAAAAACTTTCCTGATGTCATTGTTACACTAACTTTGTCAGATGTAAATCATCTTAGTAATTGTGCTTTATCTCCCATGGATTTCTGGTCTTTCTTTAACTCTGGAGTAAATGGAAAGTTTTCATTGTTGTCTTTTTCATTTGTCAAGTGTCTTTTTAATTTGATGCTCTTGTAGATGCATCTTTATTAGAATTACTAATTTTTGCAATATATGCTTTTTCAGAATCATTACCATCTATGATATACATGTTTCTACATTTGTTATTGTAAAGTGTTAAAAAAAAAAAACAAATGTTTTTTGTGAAGTGCCACTTTCACTAATATATATATATATATATATATATATATATATATCATAAACTGTTACATTTTGCAAAGAACTTTAAAATATACCCTGAAAAAATAGGTTCATCAAATTATTATCTGTAAAATAAGAAATCTTAACATATTGTTACATATATTATTCTAACTTATTAAAATTTATATTTATTAGGAGCCTGTGTTGGTATATTTTTCCAACTCCAATAACCTAAGAATTGCTTCTGATTTAGACTCCAAACCTTGGTTATTAAGCACTATGTTGTGTAAGAATCAAACAATGTTGCTACTCACAAAATTATTTGTTTTTAGAACCTTAATCATTCACCTGTGGATATTTATCTCAATTAATCAGTGTTAATGAAATGATAAAATTTATTTGTAATAATAATAATAATAATTCTAAAATGACATTAAGTGGTTGGTTTCAATTCTATTGTGTATTAGTGAGAAACAAATTTTTATTTTTTCTGAGATCCATAGATTTTTGATACAACTTTTTAGCTTTTCAGTTATATGAACAAACTTGTTGAGAAAAAATTGATGAAAAAAAAAAATGACTGATAGAAACATATTTACACTGATGTGAGAAGATAAATGTAAACTTATTAACCCATTAATACCCACTGTCTCATTTTTGGATAGTGGTGGGCATTAATGGGTTATAGGTAGAAACTTATAGGGTACACATTAGTGGGTTACAAGTAGAAACTTACAGGGTAGGCATTAATGGGTTAAAACATCAAATAGGTTGAGGAAGGTATTTAAGACTGAAGATGTGTGTTCTTGAGCTGAGGTGATTTAAAAGATTAAGGAATATCTGCACCAAATATGAAAGTGAAAATTTTATTTGTGCATATATACCAACACATGCATACTGGACTCTTGAATTGTCTCAACTAGTTACACAATAAATTTGAAATATCTTGTGATCAACCAGTAAGTACTTGACTCTTATAGCGAGTACTGGTTTGACCTTTGTTCATCATATCTATTAGTGAGAAAATCTAAAATGTTTTTACAGTAGATTTAAATCAATGACTTGAGAATAAAGAATTAGCTAAATTTATAAATCTGGCATACTTTGTCTAGAAGCAATAGTTAAGAAACTTGCCTTGCAGATTATTACTACTAAAATAAATTCAATCTTCACTGGGTGCTCAACACTTGTGTTCTTTTGTCATACTAAGCTGTGGTTAACAAACTAGTCTTGAAAACTATTGCTACTCTAGTATATTCAATGCCAGACTAAATAAATATTGAGTAAATTTGTAGATCTTCATTTCTCTTCAGAAATTTTCTAATCCTTTTTTTTTTTTTACATTTCTTTGTTTTAGGTGATGCAAATTCTCCTATGGAGAAATGGAAAATTTGGGGCCCAGCTTAGACCTTAATACTGTCAACTTGTTGTGCACAGTTGTGACAAAACCATCTGCTAACATGCCCAGCACCTCACAACCAAATGTGATGCAGCCTGCACAGGCTTACACTGCAATGCGTGAGACCACGGTCCCAGCTGAGCAAGTGTTCAATGCACAGGGTCAAATCTCAGCAACACGAACAATCAGTCAGGCCAGCAATGGGTTTGAGCTGACTCGATTACCAGCTCCATATGCCAATGGAATTAATGTAGGGTCAATTACAAATTTCTCCACTCCTGAAGTGAATCAAATGGTTGTACGGGGTAAACAGCCCTTTATAACAACTGGCTTGCCCAACATTAACAGCTTTAGTGACCCCATCCATTTCATTCCTCAGGCTTCATTAAATACTTGTGGACCACCATCCTTCATTGAGAAGAATGAACGCCTCCCCAGTTTTAGCACTATAGTAGCATCTGCTGCCTCAAGCAGTCCAGTAATTGGACTGCAGCGTCAATTCACCAATGTACCATCATCAACAGTTGAGCATCCTCTCACATTACCATCACCAGTTTCATCTTCATCTCCCATACAATCAAATGCCAGCACTAACATTGTGGCCACCACTAACATTCCTCTTTCAACTATCCCAACAAATGCAGACAGCTTTCAAACTATCCAACCTAGTTTTACTAATTATTATGCTGGTCAAAGTACACAACAAATTCTGCAGCAGCAAACACAACCACAACAACACCATCAGAGTGTGATACAGCATCTATCTACGGGCACAACGAAAGCAGTGTCAAGCTCACAGCCCGCTGCTTGTACATCTCAGGTTGTGGCAGCAGCCACCACTTTGGTTTTGTCATCCATCTCTTCCTTGCATCATGGTCATCCAAAAGCCAGATTGTCATTACCATTGTCATCATCATGTTCAGGAGAAAATGGTAACATCGTGAAGAGTAAATCTCTATCAAAAATGGACAATGTTGGAGAAATCTGTGAACAAAACCTCTCCAAGAACAAGTCCAAATTATCTTCAGAGCAACAACAGCAGCAACAACAGTTTGTGAACACAGTTCATCTAACACAGCCAATATCTTCAGGTATTCACAAGATAATAGAAAAAACTTGCAAACAGAACCAGAAAATTGTAATATCTGATCAAATGACTAGTCCAAAGACTGCCAAGAAGAACAAAAAGGACCTTGTGATCATAGCACCAGCTCAGGTTAACCAAGTGACGAAACCAGACATGGTGCCTATTTATTTCTCTCCCTTACAAAATTCTGTGCAGACTCCTGGGGTTTCACCTGTAATTGCTACTGCTCGTCCTCCTCCACAAATGATGTCAACAGCTAGCAAAAGTAAAGCGGTCCAATTTTTTGTGATGGGTACACTGGAAGGGAAAAGCACTTCAGAAGGTTTGCAATATCATGACACGCCTCCTGAAATGGAATCTGCAATTGCAGATTTGCCAATATCATTTGAAAAACACCCGGTTGATGGCATTGTAGTAAAGCGAATGGCACCAGAACCTCTGCCATTAGATTTACTTGGTAAAGAAAGTCTGGACTTTATGCCTCAGGATAGTGATAAAGTTAAGCAGGAACCTCCAGAAAAAAGATTAGAAAGTGCTGAAACCCAACAAGTTGATATTCAACTCCTTCTTCAGCAACAACAACAGCAGCAGCAGCAGCAGCAACAACAGCAGCAGCAAATACATGTACAAACAACGATACAAGCTGAGGTACCACAGCAGACAATGCAACCATCACCACAGCAAGTACAGCCAACTGTGCAGCATTTTCAAACCTTCTCTCCAGAACAATTGCAGATGCCACAGTTCCGACAAATACAGTCACAACATTTGTTACAACATTTACAGACAACACAGAGCCAACCACAGGCCCCGTTCCAAGCTGTCATAACTGCAGATGGACAGGCTCAAATAGCAGATAATCTTGGGCAGTTCACTGTACAGCAGCTTAACCAAGCTACACAACAGCAAGAATTACAACTACAGCAACCAGAACAACAGCAGCAGCTCACACCTGAACAACAACAACAACAACAACAGGTTGTTGGCACACAATTAACTATACAGCAACCTTTACTTTCTCCCTTGCTTTCTCCAACTCTTCCTTCTGAAACTTTGACAAACAATGCCCGTAAAAGTCCTCGCCAGAAACAATCTGGGATGGTCTATATGGACTCTGCTGCTAAAGCTGTTGTTACAACAACTGTAGGGGACAATGCCACATTTGTGACTGTATCAATAATGAACAATCGTAAGGTGCCAGTGGCACAACATGCAAAAACGGACACGACAGATAGTGACCTTGCACTAGGGAGTCTTACATCTGTCACTCTTTCATCAACAAACCTAATGGAAGCTGGATCATCTGCAGTGAAACGGAAATTGTCAGATTGTAGTGACAGTGAAGGATCAGAGTGTAGTGACTCCGAAAGTGGTGGAGACAAGGGTGACTTATCCCAAGATGAGAATCAGGATGGAAACCTGTATACTTTAAAACCAACATTTGTACTCCCTCCACTAAGCAGCCTCAGTTCCCCAGCTCCTCCAGCTGCTGATGGTGTTGAAACTAAGGATATAAAAGAGGAGTTTGATCGGACAGAAGTGGAGATTCGCATCGATGATTCACAGTGCATTGTTTACGGTGAACAGAAACGGTGGCAGTGCTGCATGTGTCCAAAATCTTATACAACCAAACACAACCTAGTGACCCATATCCTTGACCATCAGGGCATCAAACCACACCTGTGCATGATTTGTCACAAATATTTTAAACAGTTAAGCCATCTGAACACCCACATGCTTACTCATGAAAATATCAAGCCCCATGTATGCCAAATCTGTAATAAGGGGTTCACACAGATCTCACACCTGAAACGACATAAAGCTGTTCACCTAGACAGCAAACCTTTCCTGTGTGATATATGTAATCGTGGCTTTGCATACCCTAGTGAATTGCGGGTACATAAAGAGAAACATGTCCCAGGTCGTGATAAGTGTCACGACTGTGGGGAAGACTTTACTAGTCAGAGATTGTTACGACAGCACCAAGCCACACATGAACATCGTGAGGACTTGACATGTAAGATCTGCACCAAAATATTTCGGTATCCCAGTCAGTTAAAGGATCATATGATCACACATTCAGGGACACGACCACATATTTGCCCAGAGTGTGGCATGGACTTCATGAAGGTAGAGAATTTATTTTCAATTCATTTTTGAAATTTGATTAGACAACAACATTTTATAAAAATGAAATGTTTGTATAGCCATGATTTAACTGTAATATAAAACAGTAAGTGCTAGAAATTGTGCTTAGAGATAAAAGATGTTGGGTTTCTTTGTTTTAAGATGATGGGATGTAAAGGAGGAGGTATAAATGGAGAGGCTATTCATTGTACTTATTGATATTGAAGTAGTAGGTAATTAATCAAAGATGCCTAATAGTTTACCTTTAATTGCATATCTATAAGACAGATATAAGGATTTCCTAAATGTAGCTTAGATATGGCACAAGGCTGAAAGTAAGGGGCACCCAAGGATGATCAAACTCACTATTCAGTCATAATTCATCTAGCAAGACAAGCTTGCTAACCATTATACCATATCAAAGTACGCCTCTATGATTTTCTAAGTGTAGCTTAGATATAGCATAAGGCCAAAAGTGTGAAGTACCCAGTTAGGATCAAACTCATTACTGGGTCACAATTGATCTAGTGAGACAAGCTTACTAACCATTACACTAGGCCAAAGTGCTCTTTATAGTAAGATTTACTAAGTTAGTTGTGGTACAAGGTCGAGAATAAGGAGCACCCAGTGAGGATGGAACTCACTATTCAGTTGTAATTTAGCAATGCAAGCTTGCTAACCATTACCTTATGTTGAAATGCCTCTATAAAACATATAATGTGATAGCTGTTTGATGAAAAGAAAACATTTGTGTACATAAAAGCTAAATTCAACCATTTGTAAAAAACAAAACAAAAAAATAACTCATAAGTATTTGAATAAATGAAGCATCTAAAGAGTATGTATGTATGCTAACATTGTAGACTTGCATTGATGTATTGGGCAACAGCCTAATTGCACCAGGTGTTGCTACTGTGGTTTCTGTAGCAAGTAAATTTTTATAGAGTGCAGTTGATAACTCCACACTGGTTTGGGATTCAGAGGTATCTGTTTCTTAGATTGCTTGCCCAAAAGTGTTTACTCTGCTATGCTATTAACCCCTAGTGAGGAGGGAAAAGAGATGCCTTCATACTTTTCCTGAGGGTATTTGTATAGAATTTGAACTTGACATACCAATCCCACTTTGCATGCCAGTAACCATAACATGCACATCCTAAGGATTCTATAACATTTCATTAAACAATGATGTACAACACTGTCATATAGCAATAACTCTAAGTAGAAGCTTATGAAGTTTTATTTGAGTAATTCAGATCTAGCGCTGAAATCTTTTATTCTAATATAGTGGATGGTTACAAGTGAGAGTGGAGATGGGATGTGATTATTTTATTACCACAAACACAAAACTAGAAAATGCAATTTTGGAGGTTAATTAAAAAATTTCTGTTGTTGTTACTTGTTAATCTAAATGAGCATATTTGTCTAATATAGCTACTTCCACTAATTTTTGATACTTAAGATTTAAAATGAATTTTTAAAAATGAAAATCATTCTTGAAGCTTTCTTTATATCTTTAATAGAAAGCTAAATGATTAAATTTACTATTTCCTGTGAGAAAAATACTCTGGTGTATTTCAAATAGAAATTATATCAATTGGAATCTCAACTTTTTACTCAGTAAAGTCATTAAAATCAACCATTTTTAACACATTTTGACACATTTGTAAACAAAAGTTAATTCTTGGTTTTAAATATCCCCCAAAAATAAAATATAATTTTTCTGAAACTTTATTTGAAGAATATTAACTGATTTAAAATATAATTAATCTGATTTGAAAAAAATATTATTTACTTTAAGTTTAAAATAACAGAAAAATGGATTTTTAAAACAAACAGTAGCAGTGATTACACACTTGTCACTGCTTGTAAATAACTTAACAAGTGCTGATAAATGTGTCAATACCTTTATTATTGTTCTACAAAGACTTTATCTGTTAAAACATAATTTAAGAAAATGTCAGGTGAGCGCCTTTTTTATATAATTTTTAAGTGCTCAGTAATCTTAAAAATGTTGGAAAATATTATCTGTATTCTAATTTTAGGAATGTTGATTTTAAATTTACTGTATTCATTGCTCTTATTTTCTGATGTCATATATGGTTGACCATACTTTCAAACAGGGGTATGTTACATAATATTTTATATACATAAAAAATTAAAAATTATTTAAAAAATCTTGAAGCAAAATACTTTGTATTATGTTTTTCAATTTTTGATCAGTAAATATAGTTTTCCCTTAATAACAATATCACCTAACCTGATGAAAGTAATGCAAAATTTTAAAAGATTTATATATTATAAATTATTATAATTAAAATTTAAAAAAAATTAAAACAATTTGTGTAAAAATTCATTCACTGAAAAAAAATGTTTTTCTTAAGACAGTAGTGTCCTTAAGAAATCTAATTTATAAAAGCAATTAAAAGGTTTTGTAATTAAATAATGTCATAGTTTTATTGTATTTTTTATTTTACAATTCGGAGCAAATTTTTGGGAAATGAGTAGTAGTTTGAAAAAAAAAAAATTGCTGATTTACAAGTATTTTTTCTGATGAAAATTTAATTTCTTGAAATTTCATGGAATTAAGTAAGGGGGGCATTAACATATGTAAAAATTACATTTTTACCAAGATTTTCTAAAAAAAAAAAAAAAAATTTTTTTTAAATTTCATTCAATTGTGAATAAGTCTAGAAAATTTAATTAAAATTGGACAGTTACTTGATTTTTGCAAGAATTTCCAAATCAGTGTGTTTCACCAAAAAAAAAAAAATAAAAAAACGCTAGTTGTAAATATTAGATTGACTGCTGATGTAAAAAAAACAAAATTTTTAGCCAAAATTTTGAATGTGCTAGAAAGGGTTAAAAAATTTAATAAAATAATAAAAAAATTACTTTGGTCTTTCCTCTTAATAACAAACATTTTGACAATAAAACTTTATTTTTATTAAGAGTGGGGCCTTTTTCAACATGCTATGCTGTTTTTTCAACAAAAAAGTGGAGGTACCTAGTTTAGTAAACACACAAGTGATGAACAACATGTAAAATAGGAAAGTTATTTTCCATTTGTATTGCATTTGGGTTTGGCTTATCTCAATTATTTCTTCTCATCTGCTTTCATTGTAGACTTCTTTTTGCAATAATTACAAGTAACAGTTCTAAGAAAGGAAACTTAAATTTGCCTCACACTGAACATTGGTCGCATCAGAGAAGAGATCTGATTTTCAAAGTTATTTAAGAACTCTGAATACAGCACTAGAAAGTAAAATAAATATATGTAGTCTGATACACTTCAAGGTAAATTAAGCTTACCTAGGTAAACAGACTCTGAAAGCTAACTTTTTGTTTTTTAAAATGTTTTATGCTTGATTACTAATCAAAGTAGGGGTTGTGGTACAAAGGTTAGCATATAGTACTAGTTTTATAAGCCATTGGTAATGAGTTCAATTCTTATATTTTGTATAATTTTGTTTTTGGCTTGGTCTAAGTAAATTTAGATTATATTATACATGTTATATCATCAAGAAATCCATTACCTGACTGTTATTAGCTGAATTTTGATCTGGAAATTTCAGTGTATAATGTTTGATCTATGTTGTTAAGTGCATTGACAAGAAAGGAATAATGTTGAAAAAAATATTTGTTGTGTAAAATAAATGCTTTTTTGTCATACAGTTGCAGACATACTGATATACCTATGTATATGTTTAGCTTTCCTCCAGAAAATTAATGGGACAAAAATCAAGTTAATAAAAATACCTTGGAAACTGATTAGTAATAGTACAAGCAACAGTTCAAACTTTGGTGAGTCCTTTAGTTTCAAAGAGGAATATGTTCATATAAATGATTTTTAGGTACAATTGCAGTGAATGAATGCAAATGAAGAAAATACATCATTTTCAAGATTGAATTTTTCATTTTCATAAATGATGCTAGAATTGTGTACTACACTATATAATTTAGGAACAGAAGTTTGTATCTTGACTTGGTGATTTAATCAGAGAACCTGAACAAAGGAGCAAGAGATTTTTTTCCTGGTATTGGGTTGTCCAGAAAGCTCATGTCAATTTTTAAGGGAATTTAAAACACAAAAAAATTATGGCATTAAATATTTATTCAACTAAATATGAACCATTTTGTTACACAACCTTTCTCTATTTTTCTTTTAACTTAAAGGTTCCATCTTCCCGAGAATTTTGGTGGTTTCTTGGCAAAGTACTCATTAAGGTGTTTTTTTTTGTGTGTCATGCTTAGAATTAAAATTTTTGCCATTGAGATTATTTTGCAAGGACCTGAATAAATGAAAATCCGAAGTAGCAATGTCTGGTGAATATGATGGGTGGGATAACACATCCCAACCAAGCTGCAACAATTTTTGCCGGGTCGCCAAAGAAATGTGAGGTCTGGCATTATCTGATGCAAAACAACACCTTTCCTGTTTGCCAATTCTAAGCATTTTTCTTGAATTGTTGCCTTTAATTTGTCCAGTTACAAGCAGTACTTTTCAGAATCAATTGACTGGTTACTTGGCAGAAGCTCATAGTACAGGATTCCTTTCCAATCTTACCAGATGCACAGCATGACTTTCTTAGAATGATGACCTGCTTTTGAAGTGGCAAAGTTGGCTTATGTCACACTCCAGGATCTTTTCACTGAACATTGTTGTAAACGATTCATTCCTCATCACCAGTCACAATTTTCTTCAAAAAGGTTGCATTTTATTGTTTATGCAGCAAATCACAGATGAAATGCGATCTAAAAGATTCTTTTCACTTGGATCATGTGGTACCCAAACTTCGTAGCTATTTGAGTATCCAAACTTCACTAAGTGCTCATGGATAGTGGATTTTGATAAATTTAATATTTCTGCCAATGCCCACGTTGTGTAATGCAAGTTATTCTCAATCAATGTCTTGATTTGGTCATCATCTGTAGTGGGGAGGGGGTCTGCCTGAGTGTTCTTTATCATTAAGGCTACTATCACCAACTCTAAACTTAGCGAACCACTTCTCTACAGTTCTGTCAGCCAAAGCACCTTCACCGTACACAGCACATATCTTTTTTTGTTGCTTGTGAGGCATTTTTGCCTTTACAGTAAAAAAAAAAAGCATCAAGCATTTAAAATGCAACTTATATTTTTCCATTTTCATTGGGATGCAAAATTGATACAAATTAAGTAATGTTAAAATTTCTTTCTCAAGAGATAGTTTGAAGTGTGCCTTAATTGGAAATGTAAGCATATCTGTCGATAAATTTGACATGTTCTAACATTTTGGGACATGAACAACTAAAAATTAGCATGAACTTTCCAGACAACACAATATCTTACTTTAATATTAACTTCTCTGCTTTTAAACTGCACTTTTCTTAAGATTTATCTTGTAATGAGGGGTATGATTTGCATTTTCTTGAAACTCTAGTTATCTTGAAGAAATGAAGTTCTTAAATTTTGCTGTGAGAAGCTTCCTTGACTCACAAATATCAATTAAATATTGATTTTAAACTAACATTCATCCTTTTATTAAAGAGAAGATTTTTTTATACATGTGAGAAATAAGCAAGACATGTACAAAAAAATCTTCTCTTTAATAAAAGGATGAATGTTAGTTTAAAATCAATATTTAATTGATGTTTGTGAGTCTTTTTTATACTTTTTAACCTCATTCTCAAGTCAGCATTTGAAATATTAACAAAATCAACTTGTTTGTTAGTCAATTCAATATTGTTTATCTACAAGTATGATTTTTATACTTGTATGAATTCCTAAATTATGTATCTCCTGGTGTAAAAGTGAATGTTTTTGTTAGTTTCTTACATTAATAGCAGCTTGCATATAGAATCATGTGTTCTGTTAATGGAAATATTTATATTGCATAATTTTTACAATATGGCTGGTTGCCTGAGTGGTTAGAACATTAGTGTTCCTACCATAAGATTCAAATTCAAATCTCACCCAAGTTGATTTGTTAGGGAGGTTCCTTCTTGATAATATTATCCTGGAGAGATGATCCTAGCATGTGGCACTTTTGGAATGCGTCTAAAAGCCATACCACGGATTGATTCAAACAAATGTGCTTGAATGGGTGTCTGTAACAAGGATTAGCTAGTTATCATAGCAGAAAGGAATCAAGTAGCCAGCCATTGCATTACATATATTTTAGGTTTACTGATATTGCTATTAAAAACTGGAAATGAACTAGAAGGGAGTTACCTCCCCTATAGAAACTTTTTTTTTGTCTCTGTTATCTTGTGATGTATGTTTGTATTGGTGGCCATGTTTGACTGATCAATACTTTCCTTTGGGTACATGGTGTTGAGGAATAGTTATCAAATTAATCTGATAGGCCAGTAGGTCACTGCTGTTGTTAAGCTTAGTAAATAACTATGCTTTTTTTTCTTTTTTGATAAACAGTATATAGAAAGATTTTAATTAGAATATTATCTTTATTGCGTCTGTGTGTAAAATGTTTTAAGAAGGCTACATTGTGTTTTAATATGTAATTTTTTCAAGTGGGGGGATGATACTTCATGAAATGCTTTTTTTATAATTTTTTTTTTATTACTCACTGTTCTTATTGGTAGCACACATCCAAAAATGGATAAACTTTTTTCCATTGTCAATATATGTTGGAAATGTTTTCATTTCCTTTTTAGTTCCTGTTATATACTAACAGCTGAAGTGAAGCCCATTCTGTGAAATCTATTTAAAGTAGAAACTGCTTCCAGATCTGGATATCATGGTTGAATGATGTGGTATGGAAATAACATTTTTAAAACCTTGTCAAGAATTAATTAGCAAGGACTGTAATTTTATAATTGTAGTCAGAAATGTAGGCCTTATAAGCTCAACAAAATAGACTGCTTTTAATCTATTTTGACAGCCTTAAATCTAGAGGATTCAGCATATTTGCTCATGATTCTTATTTACAGATCCTAAACCAATTTTAATCAAATGCTATGTATAATCATTATAATTTCTCAAGATTCTTGATTTTACCCTTCATATCTTAAGGGTAGTTTAAGGTGCACATTTAAGATAAGTGTTTTCTAAGGTACAGCTTAGAAACCTAGCTTCTATTTATATAAAAAGCTAATATAGCAGTGTATATGTTTTTTAAATTTATATATTTTTTATTTTTATTTTTTTATTATTTTGAGGTTTCATTATTTTATAACATGGCTTGTTAGAAAATTTGGTATGCTTAGGATTTCACCTTGAGAGTTTGATTAAAATCCAACTGATAGATAGTATATATCCATATAGTATCTGCTGTTCAGAAACTAACACTGGAGTTACAATTATCTACATTATTAAAATTTTATCTTCTACCAAACTTACTTTTTCTTACCTGTCTAGGTGAATGTTTAAATAAAGGATTTTCATGAGAAATGTTGAATTAAGAGACATGACAGCCTAGAAGGACAAATTAGTTTCAAATCTTGATAAAAGTACAACTAGAAAAACTGAAAACAAAGTGACATATTAAATGTATGCCAAAAAAAAAATTGAAGTCTGTCCAAAAGCTATCTAGCTTGTTACCTGCTTCTGTGAAAATCAGATAAGCCACTAAAAATTTCCACAAAATGTCCATATTGATGGTGTTGGGATATGGATTGCATTTCAGTTAGTATCCTGTCTATATCAAGTTTTTCCATCTTTTGCCATGTTATTTGAAATATTGAAGGATAAATTTACAGTTAGAATAAATAACCATTTGTTGCATTTAGAATGGTGTTTATCATTTTTTTCCCCTATTGTCTGTTGCAGGAACATCATTTGAAAGCTCACCAGTTTACCCACACAGGTTTGCAGCCATTTACATGTCCAATTTGTCGGAGAGCCTTCAACCAGAAGGCCAATATGCAGCGCCACCAACTCATTCACAATGCCGAACGCGCCTTCCGATGTGATACTTGTTCTAAGACATTCACACAACCACAGACACTCAAAGCTCATATGGTTGTTCATGCAGAGTCTAAGCCATATCGATGTAACCTTTGCTGTAAGTTCTTTTTTTAATCATTTTAACTTTTGTTTTTGACACTTCTGCTTCCATCTATTGTGGAGTTTTTGTGCTGAACAGTTTGAGAGACCAGTTAAGATTGATAGTAATCAAATCAAGACATTACTTGAAAATGATTGTTATAATGTAGAAGACAGCAATCAAAATATTCAAATCAAGAATTGAAAATCATTTCTAGTAGCTTTGATATGTAACTTTTATAATAAACTGGAATTCTTCTTTTATAGAATTCTTTAGGAAATCATCAAAGTTTTCTATTTCCATATGTGATTCACTGTTTAATGAAAATGTTTCATTTTTAAAACAAAATCATAATGGGCAATAAAAAAAAATGGATACTTTACAATAATATCAAGCATAAGAAAATATGAGACAAGCAAAATGAACCATCATTAACAATATCAAAGTACGGTCTAAAACCAAAGGGTATAATCTCCTTTCAGACTATATGTTTCTTTGGTGACCAGGCAAAAATCATCCCAGTTTAGCTTGGAAGTTTTTTTTAGTATTCACCATATTAAGTACATATTACACTTTTGGGCAACCATTTATCCCTGTTTTTCTCTTGATGAGAAATCATGATCCTCTAGAAAACAGCAAAAGGCACTGATCAGTTGTTTTTGCTCAGAAATATAAATGTTGTGATAGGTCAGAGTTATGAAGTTGCCTGAAAGATAGCAGAAGATACCGAACTAAATTTTAAATGTTTTTCAATGAAGTAAATGTCAAAAATAAAAAAAATATCTTTATTTTTACGTAATAAATTGAACAAACATTTTTGGCTACTCAGTATGTCATTATTCTGATGATAGAAAATAATGACTAAGTAATATTTATACATTCATACATTGGTCTATTATACACCATAATGTATCTTTAAAATCAATAAAAATTGTTAGTTATGTTTTTAAAAAGATAACTGTTGGTAGAATTGTTCTATTGCAATTTAACATTTTTGCTTATTAACCCTTTAGCATTCAACATGCTCAAACCCATTCCGTAAATATCAGCTCTTCAAGGTCTTACTGTTTGTGGTCAAAGTCTCAATGTTTGTGTAACTTCCTATGTTATTTGTGATGATGTTGTCATATATTATGGCAGAGTATACATTAGGTATATTATGATGGGTTGAACATTGAGAGCTGATATTTAAGGGGTGCGTTGATTCTAAAGGGTTAAATATATCCAGAAAACTGTAAATGATGTGATGTTTTTTATTTCATTATTTTGAATTATTCTGTGTGCTATGCATTCCATTTGTACAGTTGAAATTTCCTCAGTTTTACTTATGATGATTATTATTATTATTAGTTGTTACTGAATAATTTTGTATGTCTACCAAATGATGCATACTTTGAGATAAGTTACATGTGATTTTTTTCTTAATTAATTTTCCTTCATAATTATCATGAAAGATAATTCAATTTTAGTTTACAGAGCTTTCCTTTGTTAGTCGCAGACAAGATTTGAAAGTTTTATCTGGAATTCTTTTTTATAGAATTAGGAAATCATCAAAGTTTTCTTTAGAAAAAGTGACTATATGCAGGATTATACTTGAATTATTGTAGGAATGTTTATCCTGTAACTTTTTTATTTTAACAGCTAAAGAATTTGGTCGATTACACAATCTGCAAGGTCACATGCACATGCATAACAACTCAAAACCATTTGTTTGTTTCTGTGGCAGTTCCTTTACTCTCAAAGGTAAGTAATATTCAGATCTATAAATTCTTAATATTTAAATAATTACAAACAAAATAAAATATCCTCTAAAACATTTAATATTTTTAAAATAAAATAATACATTAAAGACATTTGAAGAAAAACCAGTAACATGGAAAATTCTTTTTTAAGTTTTGTTGATAAGTAAAGAACAATAAGTGTTTCATAAATTATTCAAATAGGTTCATCTTTGTTGTTTTTATTTTTTTTACGTTTCAGACAATATTCTTTTGCCTTCTTCAGAAATAAGATTTTGGTAGCCCTTAAGCATTATCTGATATTACATACATCTGAAGAACACCAAATAAAATATCTGCTGAAATGTGATTAAAAACAACAAAAAATTTAATATATTACAAATGATTTTTTGTAATAATAAAAATACCTTATTTGTAATTTTCAGGCAACAAATATTTAGTATTTAGTGACTAGTTCAAAATGTATTTCACTTATTAAATTTTGATGATGGAAATATTAAATTTGTTGTCGAAATGATTTACTTTATCAGAGTCAAAGGCAATAATAAAAAGACTGAATAAGTACTTGTGGACATGAAAATGAGACTAACCTCAGTTCTCGGCATAAGAGAGTTCGTTTGTGTCTGGCGTGTAGGGCAGTAATTGGTCCGAAGAAAGAAACACCACCATTACGGTGAGTCGAACTTATGGAAACGCGATCTCGTAGCCGCGAGGATTGGCGAGAGGAGAACTTGGGCGTATGCAAATTGGTTGGTGTTCGCTGGGATAAATGTGACGCATGCGGAGACCACTCGAGAGAGTTGTGTGTAGCGAAACCACGAGGCGGTGTTGGAACATTTGAGTGCAAAGATCTGTGGAGTTGTTGTAGCCGGATTGTAGCTGTCGTTAAGCTGAGGAGTGTTTCCGAAGTAGGCGGTGCCGGGCCAACCTGCTCCGGCCCTATTGTTTGGACCTAATTTTTACGAGACCAACCTGTTCCCTTCCTATTGTTTGGACCGAATTTTGCGGCAAGCTATTTCGCATAATGGGGGACAGATTCGACCTGAAATTGATTCCGAGTTCGATGGCTCAACCCCGGTACTTGACTGGGTGGAAAAAAGTGGAATTGCATTGCCTCTTGTCTGGCATAAAGAACATTGAACATGTTATTCCTCTGGGCGGCTGTCTGGGGGGCTTTCGCTGTGTATCAACAGCTCAGTGCTGAGGAAAAAACAAGATTATAAGAGAATCAAGGCAGCACTATACAAGGCGTTTGCTATCGACCCCGCCACTGCATGGGGAACAATTCGAGGCAAGAACTTTACTTCCAGGCGAAACTGTCGACGGTATCTGGCCGAGCTGACGGTTGACGGTGTTGTTCGTGGACTGCCCGAGCGTGCCTTGGCATACAAATTTCTGGCAGGGCTCCCAACCGAGCAAAGCAACTCCTCCGCGAGTGAGCTTAAGCATAGACTCGTTGTCCCTTAATGACCTGGTAGACCGGGCCAGGACCGTGATGAAAGACAGCTCTGAGGTGAGAGAACCGGTAGTCGCCGCTGCACAGTCCACGCCGAAAGTGATGATAGACCGTTTCAGGGGCCCAGCCCCCGTAGTGGGGTTGTATGTTATAGGTGCGGTGGCCAGGGCCACATTGCGAGGAACTGCAGGAGGCGACTGACAGCTGTTCGCTGCTACCGGTGTAATGAGACTGGACATTTGGTCCGGGATTGTGTGGGAACGGGGCCGGGACAAGGTGCCAGCGCCGACCTCTTCCCCCAAGCAGAAATTAGATGAGGCGCCCGATCATCCAGGTCTACATTAATGAGACATTGTGCTCAGCACTTCTCGATTCCGTTGCTCCCGCACCATAGTGTGCGCGGACCTCTGCCGCGCTTGGAAGAAGAAGAGTGTCAGGGTGACCACCATCAGTGGAGAAACACGAAGGTGTTGCAGGGTAGGCGCGTGAACATCCGTGCAAGAACTGGAAACTCGGGTCAACGCCGAGGCGCTAGTAGTGTTCGAAAAACCACTGAGTTTTGACCTGCTTCTAGGCTATGATGCCATCAGAGCTTTAGGTGGTGTTCACATAACGCAGGACGGGGCAGTACAGTTTCAGGAGAGGGCCCCAGTGTGTGCAGCTCTGAGGATCGACCAGCCGGACTTTAGTGTCGAATTTGACCAGCAGCAGAAGACTTGGACCACCTCATGGAGGTGGTCGGAAAACCAGGAACCAGCCAAACCATGGAATGAGGTAGCCGAAAACCATGTGCCCGATCAAATAAGGCCTGCATACGGAAGGGGAGCTCCGTGAATGGATCAAGGATGGCTGGTTGATTCCTTTACCCCTATGAGAAACTTGGACCTCCCAAAGGCCTGATCCCGCTGATGGCGGTTGCTCAGCACAACAAAGCAAAGGTGAGGCCAGTGATGGACTACCGCGAACTAAACGCTGCATGTTGATGCGTTCACGGCAGATGCTGACGCTTGTGCCAGCAAGCTACGAGAATGGCGCCAGCAGGGTTCCAATGTGTCCCTGCTGGATCTAAGAAAAAGCGCACCTGCAGGTCCGGGTCAGCGAGGCGATGTGGCCATTTCAGACGGTGGTGTTTGCCGGCAGGAGGTACTGCCTTACTAGGCTGGGCTTCGGGCTGAACGTGGCACCCCAAATAATGAAGACCATCGTCAACGCTGTGTTGTCACAGGAAGAAACAATAAAGAGGGGACATCGGGCGCATTTTGATGATATATATGTGAACGAAGACGCCAGGTCGTCATCACGCTGCGTGAGGTCCAAACTGGCTGAGTTTGGTCTGACTTGTAAGGACCCAGAACGCTTGGAGGATGGTGCCCGTGTCTTGGGCCTGAACGCTCAACAGGAGCGAGAGACCTTAAAATGGGGGCGCGGAACTGCAGTTCCTGAAGTACCCGATGTCTTCACGAGGCGAGCTATATTCTCCCTGTGTGGAAGACTTGTGGGGCATCTACCAGTGTGTGGATGGACCGTGTGGCAACAGGCACCATAAAAAGAAGGGCAAGCGCAGTCACCAAAGGCTGGGACGATGAAACAACGGACGATCTGTTGGTTCGCATGGTGAAGGAGACCATTGCAAGAGTAAAGCAGGATCACCCCGCCAAAGGAGACTGGTGCGTGCAGGGGAGACGAACTGAACGTGTGGGTGGATGCGAGCTCTCTGGCGATTGGTGTGCTGTTGGAGAAGAATGGGGCTGCGATTGAGGACGCCTGCTGGTTGCGACCGTGAATGACGCTGCTCATATCAACCTGGCAGAGCTCGGCGCGGTGATAAAAGGCATCAACCTGGCACTCCAGTGGAAAGTTAAGAAATTACACATACACACTGATTCGTTATGTGTGTACCACTGGATATCGGACACACTGACAGGCAAGGCCAGGTGCGTACCAAAAGGCGCTAGCGAGATGCTGATCAGACGGAGGTTGGAGACCATAAGAAAGCTGGTAACAGAGTACAACCTATCTATGGATGCGGTGCTTGTCACCTCAAACTGCAACCTTGCTGATAGGCTCACTGCGTGTGCCACAGAGATGGTATGGCGCCATGAAGAAAGAAACTGAGCCAGTACCGTTATTATGTGCTGCCTCTGTTAAGGCGGCGGACAAAATCAAGGAGATACACCACAACAGTGGGCACCCCGGAGGAGACGGACATGCTATTTTGTACAGTTGACAAATCCGTCAGTGTCCAAAAGTGAAGTCAGAGCGGTGGTGAAGGAATGCCAAACATGCCAGTCAATCGACCCCGCCCCAGCTAAATGGCGGAAGGGTCGGCTGGGGGTAGACACGACTTGGGGCCGACTGGGTATGGACATAACCCATTACGGCAGCCAGCATTTCCCTCACACTGATAGATTGCGGACCGACGAGGTTCGCAATCTGGCGCCCATTAGTAAGACAGGACTCATCCAGTGTCATCCGAGAATTGGAGTCCATATTTTTTATGAAAGGGGGCCGCCTGAAGAGATCCTTACGGATAACGACACGGCCTTCTGCAGCGGGAGTTTAGACGTTTCAGAGACGAGTGGGGATCCGGCTCAGACACCGCTGTGCATATGTGCCGAGTGGCAACGGCATAGCAGAGCGGTGCCACCGAAGCGTGAAGAGGATCGCGCCAGGAAGCAGTGCACGATAGCGGAGGCGGTCTATAGATACAATGCAACACCAAAGGATGCCATGATTGCTGCAAAATTCCCGCCAATGCAATCCATCGCTACCAAGCGCGCAACAAGGGCATTGACGCAGTCTGCCTGATCGGCGGGAAACACGAGGGGTATAAGGTAGGGGACACCGCCTGGGTGAAGCCTCCCAATAGCCGGTGCACCACCAGCTTTCAAAGAAAAACGAATCACCGCATCGCCAATGAGCAAGCAGTGCTGGTCGATGGTACTCTACGCCATGTGAAGGATGTCCGCCCGCCCCAAATACGAACCAGTTGACTAGTAGCAGCAGTGGTGAATCATCCAGCGATGAACTGTGGATCCGACCTATGCCCTCGGCCTGATGGTTTGACTGCGGATCCCGACGCTGATGCTGATAGTTCTGACGCCCCTTCTGAGAGTCCCGGCGAAGAAGTCCAGACAATCCCTCTTCGTAGGAGTGCCCGCAACAAACGACCGCGTCCGCAATGCCACATTTGTGATCTTGAGACCAGGGTGGAGTGTGGACATGAAAATGAGACTAACCTCAGTTCTCGCATAAGAGAGTTCGCTTTGTGTCTGGCGTGTAGGGCAGTAATTGGTCCAAGAAAGAAACACCACCATTACGGTGAGTCGAACTTATGGAAATGCGATCTCAGAGCCACGAGGATTGGCGAGAGGAGAACTTGGGCGTATGCAAATTGGTTGGTGTTCGCTGGGATAAATGTGACGGGGAGACCACTCGAGAGAGTTGTGTGTAGCGAACTACGAGGCGGTGTTGGAACATTTGAGTGCAAAGATCTGTGGAGTTGTTGTAGCTGGATTGTAGCTGTCGTTAAGCTGAGGAGTGTTTCC